TCTCTCTCTCTCTCTCTCTCTCTCTCTCTCTCTCTCTCTCTCTCTCTCTCTTTCTCTCTCTTATTAAGTTATTTAAATCTGTGGTGTTTTTTTTTAATTTTTGTCTGCTGTATTTTAATCATTTGTTATTTTTATTGTTATCTGTAATTCTTGCCTTTTGTATCCAATGTTACTGTTTTGCCTACAAGAACACACGAAAGACTTGTTGGTAAATTTCGAGAGCCTTTGAACGCCCGAGGCGAAAAGAGATGCAATGCGAATTTTGTGTAAGTATGATGAGTTCACCAACCTTGCTACGAGGGACCATGAGGGACAAAATCAATTGTCTGTGGCTAGCAAAAACTTTAGCCGTTGCACCACACGCCTTGAGAACTGATGATGTGACTTAGTCAAAAATCAACGCTTTAGGCCCTATACAGTGAGAAATGGAGTGGGATGGTAGACGACGCTGACTGACTCTCTGATAACGACTAATCAACACCTACCAAACAGTAATCTTTCTAATCAGAACCTTACCTTTAATGCCTTGTGGCTGTATAGTGTACGGCTTGGATTTCGCCATTTGGTTTAATACGCAAGCCCATATCGTCGCAGACGCGGGTTTTGTATCAGAAATTGAAAAGAATGCATGCAAAGACCAATGTAGAAATTTAACGAAAAGTACTCCGAGAGAACTAATTTCCTGTGCCAGTTTGAAAACTCCGAAGTATGTGTGAATTCGATCGTAATTCTGTCCCGTATTAAATTGTCATGTTGAAACACGTTTATAGAGTCTTCCTGTCGTCAATGAACAGCAACTGTGTCCGCTCTTGCCTTGACCCGAGTCGTGAACATACAGAAGCAGTCCAATAACCAGCTGGATTCGGTCCTGGAGGGAGCAAAATTGATCTGCTAGAGATTTATTGATATTCTGTTTTGAAACGTAATTGTGAGAATTGATCCCTTCACCGACTTGGCCTGTTTATTTATGCTCTCTGATTTCTGCCATAGCACTGCTCAAGGCTTTTGACGGAGCGCTTTTGACACCAATGCCTGTTCAGTTAAAACATAACATATGATATAAAACTGGTAACTTACACTGATGGGAAAAAAGACTAATCATGACAGGACAACGTTAGTAAAGTTTTCTTCTTTGTGGATATCGAAGATGTTCAATCGATTTAACACCAAGTTAACTGTTTACGCGTACACTTTTAATTGATGGAATTTTGTGCCGAAACTGATTTTCTTTAAAGCGAAGTTTAGCGTATTGGCCTAAATGCAGCAAATAGGCAACTTGCCAATGAATGCAGTAATATTCAAAGCACTGTCTCATACGCTAATTTATCATCTGAAACTCTGCCGTTTTGAATCAGTTACCGGTAACAGACTTCCACTGAAAAATTCTCACATAGCAATGTGCCTATGCGAAAAGGTACGCTAAGGATATTGCTACAGATGAAAAGTAAACATACATGGAAATTGGCGCAGCATATCTCAGAGATATACAATTAAATGACTGGTAGTTAAATAGGATTCGAGTTTCAGATACCCCGAGGTTTAACGTGCAATAGAAAAATAAAAAGGGCTGAACTTGCATGCTTTACTGACAATCCCGTTTACTTCGTTCCTTTGCTTAGTTTCAAGAACTTGATTTATACAAATACACAAAGGGTTAATACTCAATAAAGTACTCTACAAAAGTGGTGTAGTCATTCATTCTCAGTATCGTTCATTTTTCTTATACAAGATGTTCAAACAACGGTATTGTTAATGACAACAAATTAGACACCGTTACCAAAACACTAACCAATAGCATTCTTCCTAATAAAATAAATCCATAAATATCGAATCATACTTGTCTTATTGTGTTTATATTTAGATTTTAAATTGCTAATGAGTTGTATCTTTCCTTTAAAACATATTCAGATTACACTCAATATGTGATATAATAATTTTTATGAGAAATAATTATGGTTAATGGAAAATACAGTAAAATATAAACCTACTTGTTTTCTCAGGCTGTCAACACGAATAACTGCAAATATAATATGGACTGGGGAATATAACTTGTTCATGCTCAAGATCATTTTTGCCTGAACTGTAGAAGTTTCATTATTTTTGTCAGCGTTGTTACCGTATGAATTCTACATGTATGTACAAAAGTACTTCTAATGGACTGAGGTCAAAATGACGGGACTGCCGAGAGCAAAAATTTGGTTTGGGGAAAAGCTTACATTTTCATAGTTCTAGTTAATGTCCTAGCTGATGGTCCGGCCAACCATTATCCAGCCCCTATACTGAATTGCCAGTTCGGTTTTTTTAAAAGGCAAGTCCATTCTAGAACAAAGCACGCGTACCAGTCAGCGTTCATGGCTACATTTACTTCTAAATGTTTTCCCCCCAAAAGACAGTGCACCAGTTAGGCATGCGCTGATGCAATACCGAACTTGCTCGGCGAGTCAATTCAAGCTTCAGTGGTTTCACTCTCGTCTTGTTTCGGCTTGATTGTTTGTTGATCCGGATTTTCTTTCCCGATCTTATACTGAGTGTTTCCATTCACCTCAACTTTATTCCCGTCGAGTGGCCCACAGGGTTTCTCCTGTTCCATCGTCACCACGGCGTAGGGCCCAAAAGTCGTCAGCCGACCACCAATGGGGGCGTTCTCGTCGATGAGGTCGACGTTACCGAAGCGACCGCGGAAGTACATGCGGCTGAGAATCGCGAAAAACAGCATCTCCACGATTATCAGCATGTCGCCGATATCTGCAGGAATATATCGGAGAAAGTTTCGCAATATTTAACAGAAGAACGATGATGTTCCAATTACGCTCGCCTCCTTACAAATCAGTAGGCCTACACTCCTTTATATTTTGGGGGTTTTTCAGTAGGAATTTCTCCAAATGAGGGTACTCACACCAACAAAACTCTCTTTATTTTGCTGAAGAATAGAAGAATACGTTTGGAAAGCAAACTGGTTCCAGCTTAAAATCGGAAAAGTTAGGAGGCCCGGAGTTTTGACCCTAGGAGAATCTTTCTCCCCAAGGCAAAATTACAATCACTTAAATCTAGCATACTATGTTAGTTTGGGGATCTCTGTAAGATCAACACCAAAGTTTTTTACACTAAAAAAAAATCTCGTATATTCTACGGTATTTTTATGATATACCACGGTAAGAAAGGAGAGAATCAAGAGATTTGTGCTTATGAAATTTACTTTTCTCAACTTGAACAAATCTTTTTTCTTTGTGTTCTTTTTGTTCTGTTCCACCATCAACTTACAGTTGGCCCGGGAGTCTGAGCTGAAAGGCGCCACACACGGTATGACGCCTACGTCTGCCAGGATAGCCAAAATGAGGTTCTGGGAGCTGATGATGATCAACACCATCTGCACGGTGAAAAACTTGGGACGGATGCGGTAGGAGCGGAGGGGCTCCAGGGACACGGTGAGGAAGAGGATGATACCGTAGAGGGCGAGGAGGCCAGACAAAGAGGAGACGGTGAGGATGTAGATATAGGGCTCGTCAAGGGCAATCTGACGGTGGTCGACAAAGTGGAAAGATTGGTGTGCTGATAACAGGTGGTTTAAAAAAGCGTGTGTAATAATTGGAGTGAATTTCTTTTGGATAGTGCAAGCTTTAAGAGGTCTGGGGATATTTTTCTCTCACGAACTCACGAACATTGAGCCGGAGGTTCGAATCCAGCTGCCGGTTGCATGTTGTGACCTCGGGCAAATGATTCAACTCCCATTTGTCTCTCTCCACCCAGAAGCGTAAATGGGTAAACTGTGCAGGTATGGAGACGATTGTTTTGTTTTATTAGCTGTTTGCGCCAAAAAACGGCAGCATCTTTGGAGCTGAGATACTTTTAGAAATGGCTGTGGCCCAGTGAGCAGCTAAGGTAATAATAATTAGCGCCTTGTAATTTGGTGGTAACGCCAGAGTGTGTTGCCACTGTTTTTAAAGTCTCAACTCTCGTCTCATAGAGGACTAAACCTTTTCAAAGCAAAGTTACATTGCACAAACTGAGAGGCCACCTTGGCTCTGATTCAGAACACCATTTCACCCGCGTAGCACAGTTCTCCACTACCCGGTACACGTAATAATTTACTCCAAGTTGAATTGGAAATACAGTACACAAGTTTACCTTTCCGTGCGTGTATTTTCCATCAGTCCAGAGCACCAACGAGATGAAGTACAAGAACGGTCGAACAAAGGCAACTTGCATCACTATACGCCTCAGATTACGCAGGTTGGATCTGTCATATAAAAATCATCGCTGTGAAAATGAACGGTGGTGGACATAACATTTTGCCTGAACCTTCAAAGACGAATGTGGTTCAAAGTTCCACATGAGCTCTAGGGGAGGGTGGGGGCAAGTGGTTCATCCGGGCAACTGGCCCAGTCTTAGACCGAGTTAAATTAACAGGTTATGAAATTGACCAGTTGCGTTTAAACAAGTATACATGTATTTGTTTTTTTTTTAGAGATTAAGCTGAACAGAAATTGAATAAATAAAAAAATAAACTTCAAATCATGATTTAGGATGAAAATGCCCAAACCAACGAACTCCATACTTAGCTTAACATCCCCAAACAAGAAATTACCTGACTGGAGGGCAACTAAGGTATAGGAATTTTTTAATTATTTTTTTAAAATGAACTCTGGTGCTTCTGAGATAATTACGATTGCCACTTTCAGTGTTTTATAATCAATTTACTCATTCCAACATTCATTTCGTACTCTTTTGGTGGCAAGTTTTAAGGTTTTATGATGTGGTCCACTTGCCCCTGGTGTGGGGTTAGTGGTCCACTTTTGGATGAATTTTTAATGAGTTAACATTCATAAGTTTTATTTGTGTATAATCGATTTCAGCTGTTTGCCATAAACAAACAAATGTTTTGGTCATGAATCAAATCCTTTTGCTGGATTTGAAGTGGTCCAGTAGCCCCACCTTCCCCTATAGCCTTTTGGTACCCTCCCCCGAATTTTTGGCTTTGTATCCACCCTTGTAGAGATCATACCACCAAACGAAACTTAAAGTCCACGACGAAACTTAAAGTCCACGGGTGCGAACCCCTTCTAGAATGAAAGGGTTTTTTATTTTGACGAATTTCATGAATTATGATCCATCGTCTTCAATGCTAATCAGCGACTTGAATGAGTTTTCTTACGGTGTAATGGTTATCTTTGGCAAACAGCACGGGCAGCAGCAAGTGAAGGGTGGGCTGGCAAGCGAGACTTGACGGTCTTTGAGCTTCTCAACTACGGCCACCTTGCCGCCGTAGTAGTCGATGATGAGCATGATGAACTGGAACAGCGCCACCGAGAAATACCTAAATAAGGGGGAGGGGGTATTTATATAAGACGATTTTTAATGTTGAGGGATTAGCTATATAAACTTAAGCAAAATCAGATTGCTGCGACAATCAGATAGGCTGCACAAGTAGGTCATATCGCACAGCATAGGGATTTTCTCTCATGGTCAAACTCTAACTTAGCGACAGTAAGATGGACCGTCTCGATGTCGGCACTAAGGTGCTGGTTGGGCACATTTTCCTGCCCAAACAAATGACTGTTCTCTGCAAATGATCCACTTGTTGGCAGCCAGTGACCACCACCGAGTTATACTGACGTCAAAATTGTGACGAATCACTAAAATGCACTTACACAGACGCTACGAGACTGTTAAGGAGATGTGCCGCAGGAATGTACAATGATATCATTGAAGTAAGCGACATCATCTGTAACAGGAAGAAAGTGACCAAATCAACACTTGCAAGACTTACAAGACAAATTGGGCTACGGCTTGGATTCTACCATTGACATGATGTGGTGACGAGCCGAAGCCATACATACTGCCCGATTCTGACGCGGTTTGAAACTCATAAGAAACAAAAAAATGTTTTGCGACACGTACCGAGACAGATATACGTGTGGAACAAAGAATATCAAGCTACTCTGTCGGATGTCACGGTGTTTTAAAGCTTCAGAAGCTAAGGTTTATTCCTTATTCAGTTCTGGTTTGCCTGATTCATATCGGGATCCTAAAGATGTTTAGTTTGATTAAAATGAAAACAACCCTGTCAACTGCGTCTCTATTTCGGATTTCACCGAAAAAAGAATACCGTGCAGTCAACAATAAAGTGCAATGGGCGGATTCATGAATTTTTCCGGAGGGGGTCAGGCCGCGTCAGATTTTTTATGTCTGACTTTTGCGGACAATCGGTCACGAAGGTAATGCCTTACATTGTTATTGATATATTTACAAATAATAACTTTTGCACGACACCTTCTTTTTGTTGTTGCTATTTTTGAATTTTTAATTTTTTTGGTGACACCACAATCCGAATCTGCGCCTGTACCAACATGGAATAGCAGAGCAGATTATTTTCTTGCCACATTGATCAGGTTTATAATTAAGAGTAAAGACGATACATGCATGTTGCCCTTGAGGTATGAGAATTCCAAAAATCAATTTAGAAGAATGTTTCCCCACTGTGATTTCAACTTGTCTTGTTGTAACGGTTGTTAATTTCTTGCATAAATATACCGGGTATATTCCCATGAGTACTATGAGCCGAACCCTGCGTCTGCTGTTAGGGATCTTCTTGTTCACATTGATGACGGACTCAACAAACATCACCAGGGTGAGAATGGAGGTTGCTGTCAGCAGAACGATGGCCGCGATGGCGGCAGGACTCTTGGCGATGTCTTGAAAACAAGAAAAAGAAAGTCGGATCGATGAATCAAGCGGGAAAGAAATACCAGACAAAACACATCTTAAAGTGCTTGGAGGCCCAGGGGATCCACAGAGAGACTGTAAGGACCAAGAAGGCAAATTTTCCAAAAAAGATCATTTTAATTGGTTGACTTAGAAAGTCCTGTTGGAAGAATCAGCATGAAATCCCAAAAGATAGACTTTGAAAGTGGGCATCTGATTTAATTTCTTAGATATTTTGGCAATGTTTTTGAAAATCACTGTGGAGATCCTGACACGGCTAAAACAAATCGGCCAAAAAAGGTGTTTAAGATGGTTTAATGAACATCTGCCAGACACTGAGTCCAATTGGAGAGGAAATTGAAATAGGCCTACCTCTGAAAAGATCTTCTGAACTGAGATCTCCCATTGCGCAACTGGTGTTTGCTGCCATGACTTCTAGTCCTGAGCAGATGGTCGACTTCAACGTTTATCCTGCAGCGGAGGAAATGCCAAAAGTAGAGGCCTATCGTGATTATATTATTCAACTGACTGAAGTAGTGACCTTGAAATTGACGTCAGGAAGGCGTCTTCGGGCGTGGAATGAAGACAGTACCGGACCAAATTGATTTTACATCTTCAATTTGAATGCACGGGTACCATCTGTTCCAGGCTTAGCCTTACGTGATACCCATGGGGAGCGATATATCGAAAACCTGCGGATATTAAGTTTTCAAAATGCCGTCTGTTCGATTGCCAGAATAAAATAACCGAAAGACTCACCTGATGCACGATAGTGTCTTTTTTCCTGGGTTCGGAGGAAGTAAATTAATGTTTGGGGGATACAGTCTGTTTCGAGGCTGCCACAAAAAGTGTCCGAAGCCGAGAATCAGCGTTGGCTCTTTCGAATGCTCTGGTGCATTCAGTGTTGGCACTTCTTTCTCCATTGTTACCCAGTGGATTGTTTGTTTTTACTCTCATTGCTCGAAGGAAATTTGCCTTGCCACATTAATCTGCTTGCAAACCTGCCAAAAGTCAAATATAGCGGCCTCGACTCGAGATATTGTGTGGCTGGGAGGCTTCTTCGGGAGAAAGGGGGCCGATTACGTCACTAGGGAGACCAAGTTAATCGGGTGGACTCAGTTTTATTTAGCCTAGGTCTTGGGTTCGGGGCGGGGGGCGGAGGCACGATGGAATGCGGTTTTCCAACAACTGTCCATGGCTGCACCCTAGAATCCTGTCCCGAGATCACGCGGTAGTGCCGTTATAAAAAATTCTTGCGCTTTAATTCTTTTTAAAAATGGCAACACGTATGGGGAGGGGGAACCCCCCGGATACGCCACTAGTGAACTCCCCTGTAGCAGAGACTATTGGAGTGGCGATTCAGAGTATATATGTTTTGCCGGCCAAAGCACGCTGAAAATTAAACTACTCTGTTTACCCGAGGTTATAACATAAACATGAACGATCTGTCACATAATAGCAACACCAATACTACAAATAGAATGACTGCAGTACTTTTCAGAATTAAAGAGATGCTGTACCACAGGCTCTAACAAGCCGGACCCCAACAAAGAGCAAACTGGGGATATGACTTCTATTTTGAAATGTGTAGTGCGGAATTCGACATAACCTTTGCCCATAGTGACCCAGTCAGAGGGAAAACTTAATTCGTCTTTGAGCACAAAAACATTTCTGCATCAAAATATATATCTGAGACAACTTCCCGTTTGATAACATTTCCTGTTTTGTAAACTTTATCGAAATACTGTCTGCAAAACACTGATTGCAGATAGCGTTTCTGTATGATAACAAAACTATGTCTTACCTGTTTACCTTTGTCAAGACTACTTGACTGCCCTGAATTAAAGGTCAGTACCTGCACGACTTGAAAAATTCGACAAGTCGAGGATCCCAGAACAGCAATCGCAGCCACTGGTGATGATGCAGGAACATGCAAAGATTGAAGACGTTGCTTTGCGGAATTATCTATAAAGTTATACACCCATCCCAATCGTGTGCCCGTCATACAGAGCATAAAAAATCCAGTCATACCCAGAAACAGTTCGGACAGTAAATGACCATTACCGTAACAGAACACACGGGTCTTACCAAAATAATGACCCTCTGATTGCATGCCGATGTGTTGACTCTTCACGTTTAAGTGCTGTTTAGATGTGACACCCGAGTATTAAATGCAATTATCGATTGTTTGCAGAGAAGAACACATAAAAAGGTGCTATCCCAGTAGGAAGATGAAGATAATCGCTATCGAAATCTTTATCATAAATTGACAGTATTTATTGCTACTCTTTCACAAGGCCGACTGGTACTGCATGCGTTTTCCTGCGTACTAAGCGAAGATCCCCTGAAGATCAGATTTAGGCAGTGACAGACCCCTGAAAAATAGAGACCTATCACTTCTTGAAAGCAATGCAAAGCCTTACAAAACTGTGATACATTGACAAAAACCCAAGAATTCACGCTTCCACCTGCTGGAATCTTCTTTAAACTTTAAATAAAGTCGACAATTTTCCATAAAAATGCAGGCTCATTCTTAAACTGATAAACGCCTTTACTTTAAGGAGTAACAATTACTGAGATTTCATCGTAGTTTGATTTTTCTGCGCAGTGCTAAGGAACTATTTTATATAAGACCCACGTAAAATACTGATGTTTTCAGCGGGAAATATAACACGCAAGTTGAGCTTTAATTTATTGCTTTGCAAAAGAATCTAACTGTTGATGAGTCAAACTGTCCAGGATAAAGGTTGAGTGGAGTCCCTCCTCTCAGTGAATTACCGTGACAGCATCACACACGTTATGACTTCCAACTTGCATTTGTTAAATCATAAGCTGCTGGCTAGTAATCAGAGCTACAGTTTGGCTTAAACATATGTAACATCAATTACGTTCCACCCAGTGGCGTATCGGGGGGCGGTGCAACTCCCCCCGCGGATTTATTTTCTCTACAAAGAATACTTCATTACGTAGTCGGTATTCATCATCAAATATTAGCACCAAACCCCAAGAAAACAACACCATGCAAAAAGCAAGGATGTCGGCACCGCGAGTAAGGCTTTTGATGTCTTTTCTCCTCCAACATCATCTTGAATAAGCTCAAAGCCGCATTCGCTTTTGAATTTGCCCCCCCACACACACAAATGCCGAATATGTCGCTGGTTCCACCAAAGTACAAAGTAGTTTTAAAATTGGAAAAAAAAGACTTTCCTGTTATATTTACCCCGTTAACCGGATTTCTGTTTCACGAAACCAGAGCAGTCACAATTTCAGTCAGCCCGAACTGATGTATCCTCTAGATGGCTTGACAGAAATAATTCTATTGATTGATCGCCAGTCCCGTCTACTTGACGACGCTGACAATTAGTCGGTTTGTTATGGCAACACAAACCGCGGGCCCGGAAAATGTTTCTGATAAAGTGAACGGTACGTCAACACAAGTCGCCCGGTAATGTTTTAGCTGTCGCTTTCAAGCAAGCATTTGCCACATTTCCCATTAGAGAGCCACTCCCTCATAATGCAGGGAGTTATGCCTTTACAGAAGCGCTTCATACACAGTTTTGGGTCGAAGCCCCCGCCCTCCTGCTCTGAGACAGAGACGGGAAAGTGGCGGAAATGAAAAAAAATAATAACTTACATAAATGCACCAATACCATTGTAAACAATGAATATCAGGTGATGTGTCATCCTTGTTCCTGAATTCGCCCCTGGTTTACCTTTACTTTTGGTCGGGAGCCAATCACGAGCACGGCCTTAAACGGTTGATAGAACAGCAACAAGCAACACAAGTGACCCCTGAATATCAACATGTATTTACACGCCACAAATTTTGTACTCGAGGTGCCGTCGCCATTTCGAAATGTGTTTATTTTAATTCAAAAAAAAATCGTCAATCGTGTGTGGGTTTTGAAGCCCAGGGAAATCTGCAGTGAGAGGATTCAGCGTGTTATGCTTAGCACCATTTTTGGATTAACTGTTATTTGAAACCGTTAATTTTAAAAATAGCAATAAACCTATTACTTCTTGACCAAGCCTGAAAAGTTGGTGTGAAGCATGAGCGCGCCTGCCTTCGCACTGATATATTTAATAAACCTCCCCGTTGAAAAATGAATTACCTAAATTACCGAAATATGAAATTCAAAATTGTCAGGTTAAAGTAGAAGTAGCTTGTTTATTCAAAAATGTTGCTGGCTGGTCTTTAATATGTTTAAGACCTGCTGGGCTTTGGAAGCAATGACAAAAACGTCAGCTTCCAAATCCCAGCCTGTCCCCCACATAATTTATAGAGACCTGCCAATGTATGCCCTAATACCTTCACATTAATTGACACGAATGCACAATGTAAGGATGGAAGGATTTGAGGAGCGGATCGGGGTGGTGTGGAAATTCTTCCAAGGAATAAAGCTCACTGAAACAGACAGACGTGGCTTCTTTTACTGCATATCGCTTCACACCATGAAGACAGATACTGCGATTCCGAGAGTTTCAGTATTGTTCAAATGAGGATGTCTGTAAGACTATCAAACTCCCACAATCTACCGTTGTTAGACTTTTTTCCCTGGGAGAAGTTATGATATGAAAACCAAATTTTAGCCAGTACGGGGCTGCTGTCTTCAGGAGTCAGTTGACGACGACGAGAGACGAGATATCGGAACTTGATGAAGCTCACTGTCCATCAGTACTTCCAAAGAGTCAAAGTCATAAGGTAAATAGTGTATGCAATAAAAGACCTGCCACGACTTTAACCCTTACGTGTACTTGCAACATTTCTAATCTTTAAATGAGTGTCACTAAGTTTTGAGTGCCTATAACTGGGTGTTATAAATACTGATCGTATCATCTTAATGGGAATTTAATTGCAGTCAATAAACCAGGTGTCAAAATAATGAGGTGTTAATAAGTCACTTTTATCTCTATCAAGGTGCTAATTGTGTCGTCAGAAGTTGCCTAGTCAGACATGTTTATGGCTTGGTCACATAGCGGTGAAATTTACGACGATCGTGGCTTGCTTCAAGGTTTACAGAATTTCACAATGTTCGTCTTTTATGACCAACCCACCATGCACGAGTTATTACTTGAGCACAAAAAACAGAATTGACATCCTATTTAGTATTAATCCACATCAGCTCCCTACACAGGATTACAAGTTCTCAATGCCAACCGTACATCAAAGTAAAACGGACTCCACACAGCATGTTTATTGATTACTTTAAGGGGTCATTTACCAATTTCGTTGTCATCGAGAGAAATTGTACCCCACAATATGCAGTCGATACACGGGATAAGACCGAAATTCAGTTTAAAAAAAATTCCCGTCTGAGGGCCGGCATTATTGAAGTTTTTTCAATGTGACATTAGAGTGATATTTAATTTCAAGTATTTAGACATTTGGTGAAAAAAGGAACTGCACGCGATGTTAAGTCAACAAACCGGCTACAATATTGTTTGTGCAGTTTTGAATACAAAATTGGGAGGTAAGAGACGTAAACAAAATATGATGAGCCTGTTCACCTCCATGATTGTGGTTGGAAAGCGCTATGAAACAAAATGACATCATTACAAAATTGAATTTTGTCAGCATTATATAATGAACCCAAAAATACCTCATCAGGCACGAACCAAAAAATACTGCCTGAATTGCCGGTTGCATACGATAATTGTAGAAAAGTTATCTTTTGATTTGAACCCGTCATCAAACTGGCAATTTTGCATTGTGACTGTTAAAAACAAATGTTTAATCCTAAGAGTTTTGGACTTTTTAACGACCCTAATTAGTTTCAATATTTTTTCACGCACAACGGGGGGGGCACCTGATTCTTCAACTTTTTTTCTTTTTTAGTTTGCTTTCTACAATTTGATTGCTTGCTTCTTTCTTGTTTTCTGATTTGTTTTTTTTTCCTGTTCTAGAAACTGAATCTTTTAGAGATCACAAGACATGACGTTTTGTTAAATTCGTAAATTGTTAATTGTGATTTTTTTTCAAAACTGTCAAGTTGAAGGACCAGCCCTCCTCGCCCATAATAAAGGAACCAAAGGTCCCCTTCTCTGTTTGAAAGATGACGAAGAAAAGACTAATGTTTTGGGTCTATTTCATTTCCTTTCCTGTAAAGAGCGTGTAAACAGAACCTAAATGTAGTCTCATCCCTCAGAGAGGCCCTGAAAAATTTTATCAATAAATTCCCAATGTCTGTTTTATTTTCCCCCTACGAAAAACAGGTTGCCCCCAAATGGTTGTGGATCCGTCCTCGTGATCAAATCTCCAAAATTATGATTGTGCAATTGAGAAATGCAGAATTGTACAAGGCTGTTGTCTTTAAAATTTGTTTCCTCCTTGAGTTTCCCATTGTATTTTTGGACTGAGATGCCCTTTTCACAAGGGGTGCGAACATTTAAATCACAAATTTAAAGATGTTGCCTTGCGGTTATCGGATCCGCACAGTGTGAGGTAGGCCTTCATAAAACACGGTTTGTCACTTCTGTTTCACGGTTTCAGCTCATACTAAAAACATACTTTAGCGTGCGCAAAAAAGTCTTAAATTTGTTTCAGAAAATTCTGGTTTTTTTATACTTAGGCCTATCGCTCTATAAGCTAGCGATACACAGAATCATAGGCTATTACTATTTGTTAGCTGCATGTACCAACAATGCTGCACCGTCGCATGTAATTTCCTATTTCAAAGCTGTTTGTGGCTTTCCAATAAAAGTGGATGATAAAACACAGTAATATGGGCTTATAAAATCATTTCTTTTATTTTTCATCAGTATTTTAAGCCTTGAAACGATGTGAAATACACATGCTAAGGAAATTAA